AATTAATAATTGATTGATTTAGTAAAGTAAAAGTACGGGAAATATGTTAATTATTTTTGTTTGGATTAATATAAGAAGTTGTACAAATGCAGCTCTTCTCGTTGAATAGCTAATGTGTTGCTGTCAGCCAAGTCAAAGTCAATTTAACAGTTGGGTTGCTCAGAGCGATTGCTTTCACAATGAATCAAAATTCAAAATGGGTGTGTACCTTTAAGAATAAAACATACCTAGTCGTGGACGTTTCACATATGGTGAAGGTGAAGATTCGACAGTCTCACATGTATGATTGAAGTTTGTTCCTTAAAAGCACAGAAAACGAAAAACGGCCTGAATAATTATAACCCAGAATTCAATAACATTCATATTTTACATAATAGCTTCTTTTTTGAACATCTACAAGATACTTTCACTTTCACTTCAAAGCTTAATTAAAAAAATTGTGTCGAGACGAAATTGTAAAACTATCATAGTATAAACTGTATAGAATACAATATGTTGTTAAATTAAATTATGATTCATATTAAAATTATGCTTTAATTTTAATTGTAAATACATACAGTATTGTATGAAGAGGGAAAAGCTGCAGCATAACTACAAAGTATAACTAAAAAAAAGTGCAGAACATGGCTTACCAGGTGTGTATCCTGCTATGGACACCAGTGTAGTTTCAAGAAGAAGGGGAATGTTTTCACTGTACTGATATACAATGGTGAGAAACCGTCTACATGAGTTTCGGTCTGAAGACTTAAAGTAATCTACAATGGCTGAGACACGGTCTCTGGTGTTGGTCAGTGACTGTCTGTGATCCAGTGTTTTAGGTTCCACTAAGGCAAAGATCCGATCCAGAACACCACTGTTTTGTTCGCAGAGCAATTCCACCAGTGCACTGGCCTCCTGGGCCACCAGTGACAGGATGTCCCCCGGCCAGTCCACCCTTTCCATCCTCATCCATTAGCTGGGGAGAAAAAAATCATTCATTTTGCTTTGTAGAACTTTTTAGTTCAAACAAAACTTACTTGCCACAATAAATGTAATGGTGCTGAGTGCTGGTCTACACAACGTGTAACAAAGCACAGCAGGTTTATGATGTCGGTGCATGTGGTACAACACTAACGTTACATGCTTTGTTAGGCACTGCTAAGTTAATGCATGTGCATTGCTACAAGTCATTTCAATACTTTTAAGTTCAATAATTAAATGCTGCAAATACTGAAATAAATTGATTACTCTTAATATTGACAAAACAAAATTACACAATTTACTAGAGAAAATAGATGTGTTTGCTACAGACGAGCCATGACAAATTATTGTTAACTATTTATTCTGTAGTAAATGCCTTCAGGATGGCACGTTATCACTGATATTTCAACGTAATTTTCTCCATATAAAAATATGTAGCTCATGCAAAAGTTTTGCTAAGAAGGTTTCTGTCCATGCAGTTAATTACTAAAATATAGTAAAATAAATAGCTGTTTTAGTAAATACGTAGCAGCTTGTGCCCATTTAGTGACCTGTAGGAAACGACAGAGCCACCCTGGACACTTTGTGTGAAGGCTGAGCTAATGAATGACCATGTTAATCAACAACGTGCTTTGATCAAAATATTAACTCAATATGAACGCATTTAAAAATGTTCTATATGTTTATAATATGAATTAATATGATGTAGCTACTCACCGCTGGTGGCATAACGCATCGGGTCCAGTTTAAGGGAAGAAAATTAAACTAAACGATCCCTCTGGTTTGGTTTCGATTTCTTTTATACGCATTAAAAATACGGATCCTGCAGTGAACCAGACGTTAGCGCGACTCTACTAAACCAACCCCGCCAAACTGCGCTAGTGCGCCATTTAACGTTAAGTGTGTTTTAATATAAAATAACATTTTATCTATCGACGACTGAGCATGTTGAAAGGGTTATTTTCGGATACTTTTCTATGCAATCACAACCAAAAGCACTTTATAACGAATTCAAATATTTTAGTAATAAGTGAACATACATTTGAATACAATAAATTTAGCGTTTTTGTTGTTAATTAAAACTATCTTTGTTATACTGGTTCGATGAGCAGCACAATCGATTTCAAAGTGTATGTGACGCTTCAAAAACACCTTTAGCCTACATGAAGTTCTTCATTGAAGTTCGTCGATACAATAGGCCTACATTTCATGTCTAAATGTCGTGAGAGAGTTCATCTGAGGACAGCAGTGTTGAGACGTATAGAATGTTATGGTGTGCACTGACGCCGCTTAGTGGTGATATCAAATCATTGCACCCCTTATAAGAACAAGATAGTCGGGAAAATTGCTTTGTATACAATTAAAATTAATGTAATTGAAGATAAAATAAATACTGTTTTAATATTAAGTGAATGTACAATACAATACAATACAATAAATTTAGTGTTTATGTTGTTAATTAAAACTATCTTGGTTATAGCCTACTGAATGAGAAGTAGGCTAGAATGGATTTCAAAGTGTCCGTGACGCATCAAAAACACCGTTAAATAAAGTTCTTCAGTGAAGTTTGTCGTTACAATGCATTTCTTTTCGTGAGAGGAAGTGCATTTGAGGACAGGAGTGTTGATATGTATAGAATGTTGTAGTCAGCAGACCTAGTGGTGATATAAAATCATTGCACCCCTTATAAGGACATCAAGATGTAGTCGGGGAAAACTGCTTTGTGTACAATTTAATTTAATTTAATTTAAAATAAAACAGCACAACATAATAACAGAGTTGATGCTTAGTTTTCATGAGTTGAATAATCTAACTTTAGAAAAACCAAAAGGAAGACTGTAACAGCCAATTTCATTCAGAAGAAAAACAGGTTTAACCAGAAACGTGCAAAACATAATTATGTGTGACAGCACCAGGAAATGTTTAATAATGGTAATACAATCTCCACATTGCATTATGGAGGTCATGAGATCATATTACTGAAAGTCATAAAACTAGATTATTGTGATTCACATTTTCATATTTACACAAATTTGAAAACTGAACAGCTACACAAAGCATTAAAGTTCTTTACATACAAGCTATAATGGCAGAAAGGCAGTTATAATACAGTCATTCATATTTTTTTGCACGTCTGTAAGTGTTTTTGCATGAGAAAGACAAAATCCAGTCAACTGAGACAAGACTGTCAATTCAGCGTCCTTTTGAGGAATTCCACCAGCAGATGTTGTGGAAAACCGAAATCCAGCTGGACTATCACATACCCCTGTACAAGCACAATTAAAGAAATAAAACAACAATGTAACCATTCAAAGTGTTGAAATTATTTTTTGATACTCTGCTGTATCATATAATGTGATGCATGTGGCCACTGTTAAATACAGATTGACAGTTACCATTGATAACATATTCAAAGTATATCTAAAAGTGTAACATACTCACATCCTGAGGTAAAACTTCAGGATTGATGATGTCAAAGAGATTGAGCCCCTGTTCATCCATCAAAGCAGTTAATTCTGGCTCCAGGTCTGAGGACAGAGATCAAATATGATGAAAGTAACACATGACTGACATGCTCACTGCTTGGCTGTGGTGGTCAGACTTACATGATATGACTTTGGGGATTCCCATTTTTTCCACAGCCTCCTGAAGATAACCTCTCAAGTTCTCCTCCATCTTTAAGGAGATCATATAACATTTATGAATAAAAATACATTTATAATTAATAAAAAACACTATAATAATATAATATAATAATATTTATTTTATTCTTACCTCAGTGGGTCCTTCTGATGTGGACATTTTTGTTATAGAAATACTATGATGGTCACAAAACAGAAAAAAAAAACTTTAAATCAGGCACTGAAATTTGAAATCAAATAACTGATTTTCTAATGTCATTTTGTAGAATTAATCTTTATATATATCCTTTATAACTTACCGCTCTGCAGTGGCCTTCAGAATTAGTTTCTTCTCTGCATATGAGGCATTTACAACAACTGTCACATCCTATAATCACAGATCCAATAAAAACCATAAATGTATTTTGTCATGTATCTATCTATCTATCTATCTATCTATCTATCTATCTATCTATCTATCTACCTATCTATCTATCCATCATTTGCTTATATTAGGGCATGGCTCCTGTGTTTTAGCTTACTGTCTCAAAATAAAGTGCTGGCATGTCTTGACTGTCCAGTAAGAGCTCGACTCCAGCCACAGCTCTGACAGATGTGCCCTCTGTGGTGGTCCACATGTGTGGAACTGACACACTCCTCGCCTTTAACATCGGACCCTCGGAGGACAGCCACTGAAGAGAAAGCAAAAAGCCATCACACTCCCACAAACACACAGGTGCTGTTTGAAATGACAGTTGGTGTGCTTCAAATGGAAAACATTTATTTGCATGTTCCTATGGCAGCATAAAATGTGATAGGCATTTCCTCCCCTTTGTGCAGTTTGAATATTGTAATGAGTGTTTTAGTACCTTGTTCAACGATTCAGGCCTGGCTGAGGACAGCTCTGTCTGAAACAGATCCTGCAACAGACAGACACAAGCAAGAGAATATGCCTCAAAACACTTCTTAGCTTTATATGAGGGTTCTTATAGCTAACTAAAACTAAATCTATTAAAAAAACATGTTCATTACTTAAAATTAAAAAGAAAACTTAACTATAATAAAATATTGCCAAATATTGGCTATAGTTGCCAAAGCAACATGTCTCATGTTCATATAGTTTAAGTTAATGTATTAAAATTAAAACTGAAATAATTGTTTAATAAAAAACTAACAGACATATAAAAAAAAACATTAAAAAGACAACTAAATTAATAAAACGAACTAAAATTAAAATACAAATTTAAAATCTTAAAAAAAAAAAAATGTATTAATTATATTAAAATGACATCATGGGCAACTCTAGTGCCCAACTCTATGTCCCAAAAATTATCCTTTTATTATTTGTTTCGTTTTTTTATTTTTATTTTTTTATTATTATTATTATTATTATTTTAGATGTAAAAACAATATGCTCCGCTATTTGCTTAAAAGCACCCCCTACAGTTAAAAAATATATATTACACCTAGACAAATCACATAAAAGACAAATCACAGAAAAAATATATATAAATGCCTCCAACACATCTAATTATATCATACCGTGAGTTCTGTTCCAGAGATATTGCGATTAAATCGTCCATCATGGTGTGCAGCGGACATTAGCGGCTCTAGAAACCCATCAGAAATCCAGAAGTACAGCATGCGGTTCTCCGTCAGTTGGGATGGGTTAAACACAGAGGTGCTGAGGTCTGATTTCGTATTATTGTAAATAACCAACCCCTGTTCATCAGGAAAAACAACAGTAACCACATCAAAGGATTTGAAAAATGAGTTTGCATTTGTTTGAAGGCCGTTTGGAATATAATGTCTTTGTAATCAGACCTTATGGTATGATTCAATATAATTAGATTTAATGATTGGGGAAGAAGTCACAGAGATATCCACACCAATGTCACCATCACTAAGAAACTGTTCTGCTCAGAGAGAGAGAGAGAGAGAGCGAGAGAGGTTGCATCATAGCAGAAACAAACACATAAGGCTGTTACATAAAGGAACAGAATATGTGGGCACTGCGTTTTACCAGCTTGCTCCTGTATGAAGTCTGCTAGTATGTTAGCCACATTGTTTATTTCCTTACAGATCTGTTAGAGAAAGGAAACCCAGTCGTTTTGTTAAATGGCAGGACAGTCTACTAATGGTGTGTAAGACATAAAATTGAGTATTTTGCTCAGATCTAATGTTGTTTCACCATTTGAAAAATAAGAGCAGAATCATAGAACAACACGCTAGACACACTCACCTGTGACTTCACTACTAACTTCACTGTGAAAGTCACAATATCTGTGAACATTCTTTTCAGCCAGCCGGGCCTGCACACAGTCAAAATGAAAGCCATTTAAATGAGCAGCGCGTATGGATGGAAAATATTACAGTTGATCTCCAGGAAGTGTTTTTACCCATAGGCAAAGACAATTGACTTTGACCTAGATATAAATCAAAAGATATAAATAATCACTTCTGTGTCTCAGTAATGTGAGATGTTGAACTCACTCTCTGTCTCCCTGCAGGAGCAGCTTCAGTTTGTGAAATGTGAGGTAACAGTCTGATGTGTCTGCAGCCACTTTGCCCTTTCCACAGTCTAACACACAAACACAACTTTTTTTCAGAGAAAAGTAAGGCCAATTTCAAGATTAAGTGTGCAATGTCAAATAGAGCTGTATAAACAGAATGGGATTCACTCACATAGATTTGGATTGATGACCAGGTCGATTTGTGACTCGACTTCAAAATCCACTGACTGTTTTAGGTCGAGTCTGTATAAGAAAGAACATGGCAATGTTACTTTGATGCAAACAGACATCGTTTTTTTGTCTACACATCGGTACACATTGTTGTCTCATAAAGCATTAGAGGCACAAATTTCATGTTAAAAATGTATATTTTAAAAGTTACTTTTCTTTAAAGGGTTAGTTCACCCAAAAATGAAAATTCTGTCATTAATTACTCACCCTCGTGTTGTTCCAAACCCGTAAGACCTTCGTTCATCTTCGGAACACAATTTAAGATATTTTTTATGAAATCTGAGGGCTCTCTGACCCTCCCATAGACAGCAAGGTAACTACCACGTTCAAGGTCCAGAAAAGTACCAAGATGATCGACAAAGTAGTCCGTGTGACATCAGTGGTTCAACTGTAAAGTTACGAAGCTTCGAGAATACTTTATTTTGCGCCCAAAAAAAACTACTTTATTCCACATTTTCATCTCTACTGCGCGCGCGTTCACGACAGTATCATGACGCGAGCGTGTGGCGGCGCTGACCTAGATCTGGCGTAATGACGTCATCACGCCGCATCTGGGTCAGCGCTGGCGCTGCCACACGCTCGCGTCATGATACTGTCGTGAACGTGCGCGTCCACAAGAATTTGACAGAATTTTCATTTTTGGGTGAACTAAC